TCTCCGTATATTCTCAACTAACCATTCTTCGATCAATCAAAGCTTTTCGAATAAAAGAACTCAAAAGTCTCGTATTATCCTTTCAGTGCTCTTAATAAGATCTCGTATAAACTCACGTGATCTTTCAAAGTCTGATGTTAACGGTAAGAATCATTATAAAATCTTTCCACCAAAACAGAAAAGGAACTTCTCTTATAGAGTTCTTTTACATGCTTTATTGTTTAAATAAGGCATAAGAGATTCTCGTACTTTAAAAAAAAATTAATGTGACGCTCGTATTATTATTATTATTTTGGATAAATTGCATTTCAATTAGTCCAAAGAGAGCAGAACACTGCTACAGACAAACGACCAAGCCAAACGAAGGCCAATTAATCACATAAAAACGGACTACTTAGGGATACCCCAACTTAAACATAACTGCTTATTAACAGGGTCATTTCTATCAATACACCTACTAATGCATCTAATTCTAACAACATCATGAATACAGACAAAAATATATTCATGCCGACTAACAGTATTACTAAAAACTCGGCAATTTCTCTCCCTCCAAACCAGGTAGATGAAGGCATTCCAAGCAAGCTTCAATAAGAAAACAAGGAAGGATCTACCTTTCAAGTAGGTGGCCGCCCGAGACAGCTCCATTACCCACGTCCTAACCTCTCGCCAAAGATTGCACGATCTGAGGATAATCTTCCAAATGCTAACAGAGAAGGGGCATTCAAAGAAAATATGCTCACTCGTTTCCCCAGCATTACCACCGAGGACACAACAACCATCAACCTCAATTCCCATTCAAAACAACCTATACTTAGTTGTCAATCTCCCAAGGATGGCAAGCCAAGAAATAATCACATGCCTAGGAATATACATTGGGAACCAGACAAGGTTCTGCCAAGACACACGACCCTTCTTGATTCTCAACTCCTCCCAAAGCACCTTCGATGTCAGCCATCCAACATTCAGGCCAGCAACCAACAGATTAGAAGCCTACGATCTAAGCGTCAAGATTTTCCGCAGCCCCCAACTCATCGTGTTCTTCACTTCAAACAGTAAAAAATCAGCTTCCTTCACAACGTATGCACGATTCCAAGTAACCTAGAGAGACTCATCATTCGCAAAAATCTTCTTTAAAAACTACATAACACAATTTATTCCAGCAAAGCATACTCTTAAGGCCCAACCCCCTATCACTGCACAGGGAACAAATATCTCGCCAATTTACCTTAGTACTCGAGGCCGAAACGTCCTGGCCCTTCCAGAAGAATCGAGCACACAACTGCTCAATCCTCTGAATAACACTCCTAGGGAGAATAGGTTGCCGACACCAATAGTTGGAAATGCTAAACAAGACAGAGCAAACGAGCTGAAGCCTCCCTGCATAGCAAAGTCTTCACTCTTCAACTAGTCCAAAGTCCCAACTTATCCTGAACCTTCTTGATTGCCCCTAAAAATCCTTAACCAAGTCAAGGAAAGTCGGATGCTTGGTCCAAAAGTTGAAAAACTTCAATGGCTTAGGCCTATCAGTAGACACCTCCTTAAACAACCACACAATAGCGGGACAATGGTATGAAACTCCAGAGGCTTGAAAATCTACAAAGGATTCAGGCAAAGTAGTAATCCATTCAAGATTAACAAGCACTTGGTCAAGCTTCTTAGCAACAAAGCCCTCATTCTGATGATTGGACCACGCGAACATCGGGCCACAAAACGGATGATCTACTAAAGATAGATCATTCATACAATCTTTCAACTCAACCATGTCAGCCGAGGAACAGTCAGTCATACACAAACTCTCATAAGGACTAATGGCGACATTAAAGTCACCACTTAAAATCTAGGGGTGGAACCAAAAGCCATCCCAACTTCCTTTAAATACTGTCAAAACAACCTACGAGCCACTGAATCATTGCTACCATAAATGGCCGAGATGCAAAGATGTTTCCCCCTAACACAACCACTAATGGAAATAGCCTGAGATTGCACAAAACACACATTGAACTGAAACTACTTCCTCCATAAGAACCAAATTCTACCATTGCCAATACAAACATAGTTTTTCAAATGCTCCTAATCAGCAAAGCACTCATTCATAATGGCAGAGGCATTAGCCTCCCTAATACGAGTTTCAAACACGCATAAAACATCCACACACAGACGGCTCATCCTTCGAACAACAACCTTCTACTTAAAGAGGGCATTAGGCCCCCTAACATTCAGAAGTAGACAATCATTTATCAAGCTTAAGGGTAGACCATCCCGCAACGTCACTCACAGAATGCTTCCCCACACTGTCAACTTGCTGTTTTTCTTAGACTTCATATCATTCAATAACTGAGCAACACCAAGAGAACTTACACGAGTTTTCCTTTGCTGCACCAAATTTACCCACTCGATCCTTAGCAGATTTGCCTCGACCCTTCAGTTTCATTTGAGAACCTTGAAGCGGGAGAAATCATCATTCTCCACATTATCCTCCAAGACATAACTCACCACACCCAAAACATCAACAATTTCCCCAACACGACCTCCTCCTCCTAAAACCTCCATAGAAGGATCCGGAACAAGCAATACAGACTTATCAACATCCCACCTTCCCTACAAGACCCTGGGAAGGAATAAGCTCACCCGCATAAGCAACCAGAACACGATCCACAGTACCCAAAACTTCTACATTTTCCTCAACTCCCTACCCCGATGCCTCTTTAGAGGTCCCAGGCTTGTCCAACTCTAAAAGACACTGACTATCTAAATTCACAACAGACTTCGGAGTTTTAGGCCTTAAACTTTCACAGACTCATCCTTCCTCCTATTCGGACAAGATCGCTATGAGAAGGTATAACATCCAATACATCGGAATGGCAACCAAGACACATCAACTCTAACATAGACTTTTAATCCATTCTGAAGAACTACATCTATGAATTTAGAGAAAGTAACAGAAGGCGAAACCTCAATACATACTTTTGCGAATGAAAGATACTTTCTCGAAGCCGGTAAGCTATCCATATAGAGTGGAACTCCCATAGCACTAGCGATGCAGCTCAATCCCATTTGAGTAAAGAGCTCAAGAGGGACATTCGACAATTCAACCCAAACAGAGACAATCAAAAGAGAAATCAAGTTTCTCTAAACTAGATTTCCATTGGCGCAACACCATAGGGACATTTTGAACATGCCAAGGCCCATTTTCCAGTACCCAATAGCAGACCGAGGCATTTGCAAATTGGAAGTCAAAAACAACATCCCTGCTGCCTTCACTTCAAGTTCCCCAATCTTCCCCTACAGAGTAGAAACAACTTTCTGCATTGAGGCAAAATTAGGAGCACACCCAAGAAATTGAGCCACCAAAGAGTGACTCCAAAGATTAATCCCTTCAGAATCACCTCAGCCGGCGGCTGAACTGTAACAGAACCGTCCACCACCACCGGATGAAAGAAAACAAGAGTTTGCTCTTGCTTTTCCGCAAAAAGATTTCTCCGACCCATCCAATTCAAAGCAAAGCCCAACAAATCGAAACAAACACCAAGAAATCAAAGAATTGAAGAAAAAAAGAAGAGGAACCTAGAAAATCTGCAAAGGGCCAGCTAACATGCACCGAGAGCAAATTCTAAACGTGCACCTCCCAAAGTTCTCCTACTCATTAACTTATTAACTTTTTAATATGACCCTCGTACTATTATTTTTCTTAATATGACACTCTAACTTAGAAAACAAACATAATGTGATCATTGATCAACGTTTTTTGTCATTTGACTATTATTATGCTGACGTGGTAGTTTATGGTGTTGACATGACAGTCTACGGTACTGATATAGTAGTCCACCTGTCATGTTTGAGTTACTTAATTTAGTCCACCTGTCATGTTATCTGTCAAGTTATCAATCACATTGGACTATCACGTCAACACTTTGGATCGTCATGTCAACACCGTAATAGTTAATAACAAAAAAGTTGGTCAAAAGACCACATTTGACTTATTTTTTAAGTTAAAAGGCCACATTAAGAGAGAAAAATTATACGAAAATCACATTGATTTTTTTTAAAAAAAATACAAGGACATACTTTTTTACCTTTAATTAATGCTGTGCCCGACTGCTCACTCAACATTGTGACAAAAGAGTCACTTTCGTGCGTTAGACAGAATAGAGAAATTCATGACATATTTTAATAGGATATTATACATCATTATTGCAATTCATGACATAGCTATTAAGTGAGGTAGAAAGAGTTCCCATATCAGTATCTCGATCTAGTTAATGCATACGATATGCCAAGTCATTTTGTAACCAATCATTGCATACGATACCAGAGCCCATTCTTCGGGTTTTTTATCAGCTTTTCGTTGCGTTTTACTGATATTTTTGGTTGATGCTCGTGGTGTTCTTATCTTGGCTCTCGATCAAGCTGGTTTTCTTTTCAGTTTCTTCAGTTTCAGGTGATCTCTTTCCGGCTTCTCTTCCTGCAAAGCCTTTTACTCGTTGAGCTGATTCTTTTCTCTCGTCGAGGAAGTGCCGATTGAGAGAAGATGTTCTTGATTCATAGAAGAACAATTAAACTTGGTTTGAGGCTGGTTTAATTCTTCACTTTGATCTGAGATCTGAGCATTCTCAGTCGTTAAATCTGAAACGTTTTGGATAATATCCGTTGTTTTGTTTGGTTGAGTAGATCTTGAGCATGAGCATAAACTTGTCGGTCAATGGCGGTTCTTCATTATATTTTGGTGGAATTCAATCTGTTAGTGAGAGTTTGGCCAAAATCAAGCTGATTTGTGAAACCCTAGACACATTAGGGAACTTGGTTTCTCAAACAATTTCATTGGTAAAAGATTTAAAACTGCAAGCTAACTAGTAAACAATGGCTGAATTATATCAGGGATTTAATAACATAGGTATTGTTGTGGCCGTGCTTAACAATGGCTGTTATTCTGATAACGGACTGCTATTTAAATGCCTGACCAATATATAAGTAACAAATCAGTACCTAAAAATTTCAAAACAATTTAAAACACAGAGTTATCCGATTTCTTGCTAAACAAGCATCTACCACCATTGTTGTGAAAGAACTCTAGTTGCTGACATAAGTAGAAACACCCGATGTCTGTCCAAGCAGAAACTGTGTCTCCTCTATATTCAAAGTAACTTCAGCCCATGGATGTTGGCACGTCAGTCTTCTTAGATCCTCGAGCTCTTGTGCAACTTCCTTCATTGAAGGCCTCTCTTCGCCTTTTACGCTTAAGCACCTCTTCGCTAGCTTAGCAACTTCTTTAATCTGCTCGACTGCTCCTTCTTTCGCCACTTTTTCGTCTAGAATCCGAAACAGTCGATTGTTTCTCAATGATTTATTAAAATGATTGGCTAAATTTCTTTCTTCTTCAGGCCCTGCAAATGAATGTGCAGTTTTTCCCGTTAGCAGCTCAACCAGGACTACTCCAAAGCTGTAGACATCACTTTTCTCTGTCAATTGCGTGGTACACAAGTATTCAGGGTCCAAATATCCCAGAGTCCCTTGCACCATTGTTGATAACTGAGTTTGATCCATCGGAACTAATCGAGAAGCTCCGAAATCCGAAACTTTTGCAGTGTAATTGTCGTCCAAGAGTATATTTGCAGGCTTCACATCTCTATGAATGATTGGTGTAGAAGCTGCAGAGTGCAAATATGAGAGCACTTGGGCTGATTCGGTCGCTATCCTTATCCGAATTTCCCAAGAGATTGAAGAATCTCCGTTTTCGCAGTGGATGTGATCGGACAAAGTGCCATTGGAAACGAATTCGTAAACCAACAGAGGGACCTCAGTCTCCAAGCAACAACCTAAAAGTCTGACCACATTTCTGTGATTTATTTGGGAGAGAATGATAACCTCATTGATGAACTGCTTGATTTGGCTTTGATCAACAACTCTGGACTTCTTGATAGCTACTTCAGTGCCTTTCTTCAGGATACCTTTGTAAACTGTGCCGAATCCTCCCCTGCCAATAATGTGGCTCTCGTCATAGTTTTTGGTCGCGGTCTTAAGCTCTTCCGCGGTGAAAATTTTTACCGTTTCGGTCGATACTTGTCGTTCATGTAGCTCTTGGTGTAGCAGTAAGCCTCCATTTTTTTTGAAGAACTTCCTTTTCATGTTGAGTAGCTTTCTTTTCTTGTTTATGAAGAACAACCATGAAGAACCCACAATAACAACCAGCGCACATGAGCTAATAGCTGCCATAAAACACCAGCTAAAATGTCAGACATGATCTTTTTCTGTATATGCTGTATAGAAGCTAATGTTAGAACCTACCAATAGAGATTTCAATGACTTTTACTTCATTTTGCGTGCAGCGAGTTCCATCTTTTCTGCCATCACCATGAAAGCCTTTTGGGCAAGAGCAAGTGTAATTTCCAGGAGTATTAACACAATTCGTTTTGTAAACACAATTGTTTGAGCTAGAGCTTTTGCACTCATCGATATCTGGGAATCATTAGAAGAAATAGGTCAACTCGAAAGTGGCAAAACAGGAGCAGAGCCATGAAAAAAGAATGGTAATAAGAGCATAAACCATACAGATACCTTGGCAACCATTGGGATGATATGGATTTCCATTGTAGCCATCCTTGCACTTGCAGATATATCCGGACCGGTTGTCAGGGTCGAGGCAGTTGCTATTCTGTTTACAAGCATAACCCGATTTACCCTCGGCTACCTTGCATGTTTCATTGCCAATAGCCCAATCAAGCACCATAGGAAGGTATTTTATTTTCCTCAACTCATCAAAACTTCTACTGTTAAAAGTGAACTTGGTTTCATCAGCAATAAAGGCGTAGCTACAGGGATTGAAGTCCATGATGTGCGTATGGTTGTTGTAGCTTGTAACTGATACAGTTATGTTCTTAAGTCCACTAGGAATGGGGATCTGGCAGCATCCTATACCCGAGCAAGAATTGTTAAAGCCCTTTGTGTCCCCTTTGTTACAATACGATATGCAGCCGGTGACGTATTCATTATCGCTACCCTTGCGTTTAGCCCTGACGGTTGCGTAAGTATCGCAGCCGACGGCGGTGAACTTGTTTCTATTGTTCGAGATAGTGTACATAGCTGCCCGCAGCCGAGAGCTGTTCCAGGAAACGCGTGAGCCAGAGGCGTCGTAACAATCCATGGCTATTCTAGTCATGACTTCGACTTGACCTTCAAGTGTTATGTTAGTGACCTCTAAGTTCCCACCTCCTAACAGCGGTTGAGGTCGGCTAGCAGACTTGTTGCAAGTTATTAGAAAAGCTCTGCTCAAGTAACACCTTGAATCCATGCCGAAAGGATATGGGATGCTCACATTTCCACACTTATCTTCGCAACCCAGCAAGGCTCGAGAACCCACAGATGCTTCAGCCCCAAGCAAACAGCTGAAAAGGATCAAGTATAAAGTTATGCCCGGAGGCATAGGTGCCATAAGAGCCAAAACTAGAGGTTATTATGAGTTTCAGATTCGATTACACTCTACTTGGTTTGGAGATCTAAGCCTTTGTTTTATTCCAGTGAACAAGTGAGTTTCTGCGAAACCAAGCCGAGGACCCCAAACCCTTGTCCCACAAGAGCATAAAAGCCAAGTCAATGACCACCTTCTTTCTTAGTCAATGCCTTTCCATTATTTATACTCAAAAGCCATGTCTACCTTCTCAGTCAATTCTCCCAATTGCACAAGTTCATGTCCCACAAGTTCCATTATTTTGACTTGAGGAAGCAGGGACCGAGCCAGTTAGCCAGGATTGAGCTATGAGAGGACAAATTGTTTAACTTTAAAAGTAAATATGGTCTTAAATCATAAAAATTAAGAGACTAAGAGTTTAATTTCACTAATTTCAAAATTCAAAGGTCTTAAAAAGTAATTAAATCAGAGAAATTTAGGGTCAAGACTTAATTCTATTAATTTTAAAACTGACTATCCTAAAAATCAATTATGCCAAAAGTTTTGGGAGGTGCAAGGGCATAATTACAATGGTTTCAAAACTACTAGTGAAGGTAATGAGACTAAAAGTTTGGGGAGTCATTGTCCATCTCAATAACGTGTGGGTCTGTTCCTAAGATTTTAGGTTAAGAAATGTGAATTTAAGAATTAAAATTAAAAATATAAGAATTGTTAAATTAAATTATTAATTAAAGGTATAAAAAATATTAAAATTATATAAAAGTTTAAAATTTTTAAAAAAATATCATACCTATAAACTGTTATGTATAATAATTTTCAAACTTTCACTATCACCTCAGCTGAGTGATGTGGTCCAAGACTAAGACTAGGGATGGGTAAAATACTCAAATTCGATGGGCTTTGACTCTACTCGACCTTATAAGAGCGATTTTTTTTTAAATTTTAAGGTTTGAGACTGAGTAGGGTGGGTTATATAGTAGGTAAGTTTGGGAAGGGGCAAAGTCAGGCTTAAGGTGGAAAATTATCGATCCGACCAAATTATATATATATATATATATATATTATATATATATAAGATTTTTTATTTTTTATAATGTTAAAATATATTATTTAATTACTAAAATTATAATAAATTAATATAAAATATATTGTTTTAACAATTTAAAAAATAATAAATAATTATAAATATATTATTTAATGTTAAAATATATTATTTTAATAATTTAAAAAACAAATAATTATAAATATATTATTATAAAATATATTATTTTGATTATTTTAAAAATATTGACATATTCCAATCGGATCGAATCATGATTGAGATTTTAGTCTAAAAATAGAAACATGTTTGGGACGAGAGTAAAGCTAAAAATTATCCGAATGGGTCAGGGCTAAATATAGACAATATATTTTCAGGTCGAGGGGGCAAAAACCGGCCCGCCCTGTGCCCATCCCTCAAGACCAAATGCCAAGCGGGGCAGGCTGATAAAAATCAACAGTTTTGACCTGTTCGTTGGATACTGTTATTTGTGTCTATAGTTTTTCTTAATGCTGCCATTAACTTTAGAGTTGTTCTCTATATGATCAAAGTTCTAGTATCATGTGTTTTTAATTAATATTTTAAATAAATAATAAAGATACGTTATAATTGATTAAAGCTGTTTGTGAGAAAAATATTTTATTGTTATTATATCAAATAACTATTATTATTATTATTATTATTGCTTTTCTCTAGTACGTTTTATATCTGTTTTAAGATCTATATTATTATTATTATTATTATGATTGATTTTCTCTCGTACGTTTCATATTCACCAACAAGCGGTTGGTCTATTAGAATGAGATTCAAATTTTGATGTTTATGTTTGGAGCAAATTAAGTTAGGAGGGTTGCATCCATAATGGGCATCTGTAAAACACAATATGGATTTAGTTGGTTAATAGATTAAATATCAATGATTAATTCAAAAAAATATATTTATCACAAACCAACTTACATCAGTAGTTAAAAGAATCGTTCTTGTTTTTAGAGGTCACGTGTTCGAACACTACCTATTAAAGCAAGGTGATTACACATTCATCGTAAAATGATTAAAAATATTTAGAATAAATACTACTTTGTAATCACCTTAGCTTAATAATTTTTTTTCATATAAGATTACTTAATGAATATTTATTGACTAGTCGACCATTATTATATTTATTACAAATTAAATGCTAGAAATTTATTATTTGTCTTTACATTATATTATTTTTTACGAGTGTTGACACAAGTGGTTGAAATTTAAGAATTTAAACTTGTAAGGTCAAGTTAGAATTTTACCACTGTCACTCTTGGTAAACAATCTATAAATTCTTATGTAAATCCTAATTAAGTCTTAAATATATTATGACCTTGGACTGATGAGTCATCTTTGACCAAAACTTTTATATTGTACCAAAAAGAAAAAGCATTATACTATTTTCAAAAAGTAACAAAAAAAGGGCATATGAAAAAAAGTCATATTATATTCATATTGATTTAACATGTTAAATTATGATACCAAGACAAAGAGCACGACCACTACTAAGGGGAAGACAATTTATCTGATGGATATGCTTTAGTTTACTCTTCCACGGGCCACCACACCATTCATTTAAATTTTACAAATTTTAAATTTTACAAATTTTAAATTTAATCCTAATTTTACGTATGGGAGAGAATGAAGTAATTCTAAGAGAGAGAAAAAAACAGTAATTTTAGTGGGACTAGAACATATAATCAGATGGTATATTAGAGGAATAAAAATGAACAACTTAACCAATCAATAAAATATACATCATTTAATATATTTGTATATTAATTTAATTATATATATATATTTATAAAAAGTTGTTAATTTTATTAAAAATAAAAAATATCTAAACTTACAATGAAGATTTACAAGCATAACCGTAAACATAAACTAAATTATAATTAGAACATTTTCCGATAACCATTGACACAAAAACTAGTCACCTAGATTACACAATGACAAAAAAGGAAAATGTTTAAAAAAACATAACCAAAATGGTCAAACAAAATAAAGATAATTTTTTTTGACTACATCGGCAAACGAACTACAAAAGGGATGAAACTATTGAAATACCACCGACAAATTACAAATCAGAGTCGAGCGACGTTAGAAAACTATCCACGAACTCAAAACGCTTATTCAATTCAATCCGAGGGTTCAAAGCATAGAAGATCAACATGATAACAAATAAGTGTCATTTTGATCAGTCGTGGTGATGTCAAATCGAACACTGAGAAAACAAATTGTTGAGTTAATCGATCGACGAATATGGCCAAGAGGGGGGTGAATTGGCAATTAGAATTTCGGTGGAAGCTTTAGTAGAAAATTGAAAGTACTTGCACAACGATTTAGAGTGGTTCGACTTTCTCAACCAAAGTCTACGTCCACTACCTTAGCTATTCACACTAAGGATTTTCCACAAATTCACTAATTTGTCTTTCTTTTGAGGACAAAGAGTAACATTACAAACCCCTCAAGAATTATACCTCAAATTCTTGAGAGCACTCTCTCCCAAAAAGAACAATACAAATTTTGCAAACTTATAAGAAAATCCTCGCAAGGAAAGATGTTTGCACAATTCTAGAACAAAGAAAGATCACTCAAGAATAATACAATTGAACACAATAAGTGTTCTTGAAAGCAAATATGAATATTGAATGAAATAGGCTTGAAAATGCTCGAACTTGAGGCTTGATGCTTTCTCTTTGATTCTCTCTTGATTCTTGTTGATTGTTGTTTTTTTTGTTTTTGATCAATGGTTTCTAATCTTGTTTAAATACTCCTTCAATTGATTCTGAACGTTGGGGATGATTAGTGGAGTTAATAGATCCGTTTAAGTGTGAAAACAATTACTAAAATCAGTTGGGAGCGTGTGTGCATCGATGCATAAGGTTAGTGCATCGGTACATTATGTGTAAAATTCAAATATTTTGACCGTTGGACCTTTAGTGCATCGGTACACTGAGCGTGCATCGATGCATGAAACACATTTGATGTTTTAAAATAGCCGGGGTGCATCAATGCATGACTTGTGCATCGGTGCATTCGATGTTTCTATTTGTTCAAGAGTGCATCGATGCATAGAGAGTGCATCGGTACACTTAATGCATTCGAAATTCAATTTAATTGAGAGTGCATAGATACATTGACTAGTGCATCGGTACATCTCTTTAAAAATTAAATTTTTGGCTCGGTTTTGGTTCGAAATACTTTGTCAAAATTATTTCAAAATTATTTTAAGTATAAAACACAATTTTACACATTAGTAAGGATTGAAATTGAACTTTGAAAGACTTGGAGTAATATTTTGATATTCGAATAATTATATCGAATATACTTTAGAAAATCATTTGTAAAATCTTAAAATTCATTTAAACTTAGTTTGTTATATCGAAACATCAAAATGTTTTCAACAATCTCCCCTTTTTTATAGAACAAAACATTTGAGTAATTTTAAGATTTTTAAGAAAATCATTTTTGAAATCATCAAATTACTCTCATTTACTATAATACATCTTCTCCCCCTTTTTGTTAAATCAAAAAGACTCCAATAAAAGCATTTGAAGAAAAAGTTTTGAAACATAGCCAATTGATATTTATAAATGTAGCTTAAGCTGCTAAGATCACAATCAAGAGAAAAGTTAGTCATTAGTTTCATAATCAATATTCATAGATAGATATGTAATGGAAAATTGGTCATATATGTCTAAATAATGCAAAAATCTAATAAACCAATATAGGTTCAACAACCAAATATATAAATATAAGTTCAAATATCCAAGCATCCAAACCATAAATCCAAACAAATTCAAACATTCAACAACCAAAGTAAAACAATCCAAAAACAAAAAAATGTTTATCAATCCAAGTTTTAAAACCAAGAAAGCATGGAAAGTAAAGATCTACTCCATCGAGAAGGAGGATAATGTGCTCGTACTTCAAGAGTGAGAGCATCCATACGTTCACGCATCTCCTGTTGAAACTCAGTCAGTTGAGATTCCATGGAGGCAAACCTTAGATCAAATGACTC